TTGTGTTTTTGTTGTTTTAGCTGTTTGAGTGGGGGGGGGGGGGGGGGGGGGGGGGGGGACGGACGACGACAAACACACACTTAATCTCTCGGTGCTTCACTTCTAATCCATGGTACAGGGTTTGGTTGCGATGGAGTTCATTTTCTCCATAGCAGCCTGTATGGTGCTCTGACTAAAACAGTGTTAATAACGCACCAGCTTTTTGGCTCTTGCTGCGCAGGACCTGCACGCCATCAAGACTTTCTCTTTTCCCACTCTGCCTCGCCAGCGAGGAGGCCAGCAGCGGGCAAGAAGCTAGAAGGCAACACAACCAGGACAGCTGAGCCAGACTGACCAAAGGGATGTTCCGCACCATAAAATGTCATTTTGTTTTGGTTTTTCCTTCCTCTTTCCTTTGCTTATTAAACAATTTTTATCTCTACCTATGAGTTTTCTCACTTTTGCCCTTCTGATTCTCTTCCCCACCGCGCTGGGGGAGAGGATGGGGGGAGACAGTGAGCAACCGGGTGGGGGCTTCGGTCCTGACCGGGGTCAACCCACCACGTCCATAAATTCATTAATATTTGCAGGATCATACAATGTTAAACACCGCAGAAAAGTCTATTAATACATTAAACAACCATGTTGGTTTGACTGGCAGAATCCTAAAAATATATTTATTAATTTATTGTAGCAATGCATACTATCTCCAAAGTACACTGAAGAATTCTTCTAAAGGCTCATTTAAACACCACTGGAGCACTGCTTGCACAGCGCAGGGACCACTGAAAGTCATGCAGTTCATCTCTACTTCGTACCAGGCTACTGCATTTAAGAGCAAGTTAGCGTATTGCCATTTCAGAGCCTTTCCAAAACCATCATCAAAAGATCCATGTGTGAGAAAACGGGGTGGGAAGACTGCCTCAACAGCTACAATCTGGAATTAAGGATCCTTCAAAATAAAGTAATTAGAATTCCAGTCCAAACTTCGTTGATTTGCACAGAAACAACTGCATCTAGGGAAGGAAAAAAAAGTGAATATTTTGCCATTAACTTCTACCTAAACAATAACTGCTTTGCCCGAGATGTATTTTTCTCACAGACCATCAATTGTTGCCTTGTGTCCTTCCACATCAAATCAATATTATAGACTTCTTTATAAGAAAAAAGATGAGGTAAAAATAAAAAATCCTCCTAATAATTGTTTCCTTAAAGTCACCTCCACCTCATTTAATGATTTAGCTATAACCATATCACTGTTCTGATTTTCTTCTATTTTCAAGAAAAGAAGTAGCTGAAGTGCAGCAATCTCTATACCCTTTTTCTGATAAGTAAAAACAAAAAATGCCAAAGGGATGTTTTTCCTCAGTGTAAGCAAAGAAGAATGACATACCCCAAGCACCCAAGCGTATCTTCAGTTTAATGAAAAAATGGTTTCCAAAATGTATTTTCATTAAGTAGGAGATTTATTTGAAGATATTATGAATGAAAAGACTTTCCAAGTGAGAATAGCCCTTGCAGATACTCTCTAATTTAACACCTATAATTACAAGACAAGGTCTAAACACTCCAGCTAAAAGTTAAACTGTAGAGAAAAATCTAGTTTGTATTTATCTGACACTGGTTTATAGTTTAATAATGTTTTCTTCACCTTGTTCAGTAGTCATTATTACAGTGAATTATACTATGGCATGGGGCTTCAGACCTTTCAGTTCAATGGGAGAGAGTCTTATTTTGGGCAAGCCTGCATTCACTTGTTTCTGGAGTCCAAAGTTTGTTTAGCAAACAACTGAAGTTACAAGCAGCTTTTAGTCAAGAGTTTGAATTAGTAACTTGTTTTATCATTTTACTGGATACTACATCACTAATACCATAACAAATATAATAGCTTACCCACAATCTAACTGCAGGTTACCCTAATCCAATCTAACTCTCAACAGATTTTGAGGTCTGCCAAAGAAAAAAATCCACACTGGCATTTTGCACAGAGAAACCCAATAGAAAAGCAAGTCTTTTGAGATCAGAAGAACCTCAATTCCTCAATTCTTTTCAATCTTGAGTTCCCAGGTAAATCTGGCTTTTTGCCATGTTTCTCATTTTCCTAATTTAATCTCTTTCAACAGATGCACAAATGGTTTATTTCAATGTAAGCACATCTACAAAATTCTTTACTGAAATAATTTAACTCTTTCTTTGGGTATCTAGCTTCACATGGCTATTAAAATCATTATGAGAAGCCATAATCTGTTTTGACCTTCCCACCTCACAAATTCATGCTGTTGTATAGAACAACAGGTATTAGGACTCCTACCATTTTTCTCAAAATCAGTTGCTCTTAAAGATAACCAGGCAACAAACAAAACCATAAAATGATGAATTTAAGAATTACTTAAATAGGAACAAACCCAAGTTAGACTAGCAATATGTATTTAGTATTTGGTATATTTGAACATTAATATCTCAATTGCATAGATTGCAAAGGTATAGAATTTATGAGCTACCAAGATTTTAATTTCTTTTTTCCTCTCGATAAAATGCTTTATAGAACAACAATGTAGACAAGGACATTTCTTTCAGTAACAATGTTTACAGCTATCAGCATTAAATTGTTCTGCAAATTACATTTATCACTTGATCAGATTCATTTCCAGAGAGTTTATCTTGACTAGATTTCAAAATCGTTGAGGGAAGTAGTAATGTCAAAGGCAAGAAACTCAAAAGAACCTCACAAAATCAAGTGAGCATGCAAAAAGATGGACTTCAACGTACATAAAGGTAAAATAATGCATCTCAGGAGGGCAGGATATGAGCCATGCCTGGTATGTTGAACTTGGACCTGGCAGTTACAACTCCAGAAAGAAACCCTAGAGTCACCATTGATGGTCCTCTGGAATCAACACCTTAGTGAACAGCAACAGAAAATAACAAAAACAAAACAAAACAAAACAAACCCAAAAAACACTGCAGCAAAACATAGGTCCTCATTAGATAAGGGTACTGAGAGCAAGTCAAAGGGAGGCATTTTGCCACTGCATAAAACCTTGGTGCGCTCACATCCTAAGTGTTGTGGGCAGTTGTGGTCTCTGTACTGCAAGGAGGACATACTAGAGCTAGAGACACTCCAAAGAAGGGTAAATAAAATGATGAAGGGGGTGGAGCAGCTGCCATGTGAGCAGAGATTAGAAAATGCTGGGACCCTTCAGTTGGAACAAAAGGCTGAGTAGGAGAAGATGACTGCAGTTCACAAAAATTACAAAGATGGCAGATAAAGTGAATGCAGAACAGTTGTTCACTAAATTCCCTGGTATGAAAACTTGATAAAACTAGTAGAAGATCAGGTTAAAACAGATACAGCACTTCTCTGCCCAGCTGGTAGTGAACTTCTGGAATCCATTGCTGCAGAAGGCTGCAGAGGTAAGCAGTATCAGCAGCTTCTGGGATTAGGCAAATTCAGGGGCAAGTCCACAAAGGGCTACTTAAAAAGGAGTACGTATGGGCAGCAACTACGGATGCTGCGCAAGCACAACAGAAACACCGCGACAGCGGTGAGACTTGCGTGCTCTCCCTAAGCAGCATCCCCTAATGTCCTGTGACTACTTAGCCAGATGGATCATCAGCCCCAGTAGGACATTTCTTAAATTCTTGTGTCTTTGTCGTTCTGTGGGAGAATGGGACAGGATAGGACTGAATCCTCTATTAGTGATAGCATTATGATCTGCAGATAGCCTCAAAATTGAAAAGTGAATTTAAAGCATCAGAGAAACCGTATATACATGGAATAGTGTTCTGAGCACAGTTGTGGATTCCTGACAAAGACAGATTGGTTAAAAAAAAAAAAACACAAGATGATAAAAAGATGCAGTTCAGCCTGGAGGCCCAGTGAGACGCTAGCAACACTACCATTTCATTAAAACACCTGGACAACTGGGGGAAAAAAAAGAGTTTAAAGGTAAGGACGAAAAAGAAGCCAAAGTAGAAAGAAAAGCGTAACAGATTACAGCTGGAAGGTCAAGTCCGGGTAGAACATAACCAAAACAGCTGCTGCTTCTCAAGCTGAACAGCTGAAATGCAAGAGCAGTTTCCAACTAGCACAGAAGGATGAGACCAGAGTACTCCACGTCTCTGCACTCAACGTGCACAAACGTGCACTAAGTGCAAGTACGATCAGACAGCTGAAGACAGAAGTCCGATGTGCTTCAACGTAACAGAGCTCTTCAGACTCCTATGGTAACCTGCACGTCAGATTCTTGCTGCCTCACCAGCTGAAGTATATATTCCTAGCAGAATACACAGGACCTCAAAGTAACTGTCGGTTCTACATGCGTAGGCATTGGCATTCATACATCTTCTCCAAGTGCATGACGTTCTAGTAAAAATGAAAGCTGCGTATTTAGCACTGCAGAGTATCTGCCACCTTTTTTTTAAATGAGGAACTGTGGGGTGTGCACACTACAACTACAGGGTTAAAAGCACTAATAGTTCATCAGGTCATAGGCAGTGTACCGATATTATTATTAATTTTCCTTTGAGACTGGGGAAAAACAGCCTCTTTGGAATTGAGGAGACAATCCATAATATTTTGAATTCGGACCTGGTAGATAGAAATGAACTTGCAGAACTTATGTTCTTTACAATGTAAATGTATCTAGCAGAGTTTCCTCTAGGCAATTAGCAAGTATCCCTAAAAGGAGGGGGAAAAAAAGCTCTAAAATCATGAACCATTTGACATTTATCCTATGAGTTGAAAAAAGAGTTAGTAAGAATCATACAAAATCATTATTTCAGTCAGCCCGTGTGGGCAGAGAAGAAGAGACTTGAGCTGAGAAACCTGGATAGTAAAACCATGGCAGATAGACTGGGGCTGGATTACCAACGCTCCTCGTTGTCCAACCTTCACAAGATGTTTGGACTAACTGGAGAAAAGCCTGCTTGCATTCACAATTCTCTGTGGAACATAACCCAACTCCAATGTGAAAGATGTTACAGTTTTGTTTGGGAAAAAAAAAGGTAAATAGATCTATTCCAGGATATTCACACTTCTTAAAATGGGTTACCTGGACCTCAGAGTAGATTTTTCACTCAGCTAAACAGCTGAGACTGCAAACAGATGTGTTCAAAGACCATGGGAAGAATACAGCTAGACAGGTGAATTTATTTCTCTATGTTTAAATTCCAGAGGTCAATCACTTCCAAGAAAGATCAGTGAGGTTTTCCCTCATCATCCAAGTTCATTCAGTGTGTGCAGCTGGTGCTCACTACGAGAGCCTAATAACCTGTGAGGCTGGTAAGAACGTCTGGCACGCTCTTCTCAGCCCCTCAGGTTGGAGAACATCAGTGTCACATTTGCCCCTGAGTGGATCAAATAGTTGGGTTATCAAAGCTTTCAGAGCGCACCCCCTAACTGAGACATAACAAGCCTCTGACAAGAGCTGACTGGAGACAAAGGATGGAAAGGCAGCCCCCTTTGCACATGTCATCGTTCTAAAAAAAAAGTATTAGACTATCTGACCTAGTGAGGGACAATATGAGGTGACACAGAGTTGACCTTGGCAGTATACATGTGATGTCCAACCTACAGATACCACAGCCTGGTAGACAGAGTGGTGCAATGAGACATGAAAAGACGTGACAGACATGTTTATTGTGGCAGCATGACAAGTTCCTTTTGCTGATTTGCCTCAGGATCTGTTCTATAACGCGTGGCTGCTGAAGGACTCAAAAACCCCGTGATATCCTTTATGAACTGCACAGGGTGAGTTGCAATTTCTGCTCATTTATCTGAGGGCCAGAGTGGAAAAGCTAAAGAGCTGCACCTGAAAGAAACAGATGAGGGGAAGTAAAGGAAGGCAAGTTTGAAAGCCTGATCTCCAGAGGTTCTCATTAACAAGACACAATTGAAAACAATGTCAAACAAGTGGGCTTTCTCAAGAAAAGTTACTGGCTATAGCTAACGTAATGAAGGAGGGAGGTCAGGTGACTGCACTGCAACAGCTAATCCCATCCAGGAATTTACACAAAAAAATGAGAATGGTTGCCATTTACAGCATTCGTCTTTGTGCTAAAAGTTGTGGCCCCAGACACAGAAGGTAAAGAAATGGAAGTCAGACAGGTATGTATGCAGCAGCTGCAAAAGATTTACGAGCAACTGCCAAGACTAGAAGAACCAAAGCAAGTCAGGTGAAACCAAGGATGATTGAAAGCTCTTTGTATTTGGCTGAAATTGGACAACAACTTCTCATGGGCTCCCAAGTTGACAGGCAAGCTGTGGTCATGGCAGATGGAGATACCTAACAGCTTTCAAGGAGAGCTTGAGCAGTTCAAATCACAGGCACATTTCAGCTGAGGAGTAGTAAAGAACATCCATCCAAGAGACAACTTCTTCATGCACTACAGATAGTTCGTAAGTGTCTGCATATGCTCTCAACTTGATATATAATACCAAGTTAAGAGTTTGTGTTGCTATTAGAGATGGTTTAACATCGTATCCACATTATTTCCACGCATGTAGCATTCACTGACCAAACTGAGCTGCTGACATGACAAATATTTAGTTCCCTGTTGATCACCAGAATCCCATGGCACGCTGTACCATGAGTCCATCCTTACGCATTTATATCAATTTGCGATAACTAAAATGGAAGAGAGTCCATTAAAAAAGGCAAAGGTCCATCCTTTGCAAGACCTACGCACAGTCACATTTGAAATAACAGAATTATTACACGCTTAATGCGGACCACTAGTTCTTTTGCCATGGATAGCGTTTTTCAGCGCTTTCCGTCGTACCCACAGCAGACAGTCATGTAAAAAGTCATTTAAGTATGTATTTTCCTCCAATAACATGGCGTATCTGGAGCACACAGCTCCAAAAATGGGGGTGCATTTCGCTTCTGTGAGACAACGCAAGAAACTGAAGACTCTCTTGACAGGACCCCGGATAGCCTAATCTAAAGCTTTGCTTTCAAAAGAAGGTTGGATAAGACGATTTCCAGAGGTCCCTGCGCATGTAGATGTCTATGATTCTATGATTCTGATGGCATGGTTCATAACAAATATCATTCGGTGCCTCTCAAAACTCGCTCTCATTTCTATTTTTCCTAAATGTCGATTTAAGTGTTGCATTTTTTTCAGTACACACATTTATAAGTTACTCATAAGAAATTTTCCTTTTTCTGATAAAGACAATTATTATCGTGCTTAGTAACATCTAAGAGACTGTCAAATACACAAAGAGGGTTCATGATAAAAAATTTCCATAAAGAAAATGAAGGATGAAGTAAAATTAAAGTTTTGCTGAACTCCTAGCTGAGTGTAGCAACTTTTCTCCTTTCTCCCCACTGTTTTTAACAAAAGTTGTATCTGAGAGCTTATGATGATTTTAAAGTTGACAAGAGTCTCTTTTTCAAAATTTTGAACCAATTAACTGTGTAATGTTATGTACTACGAGTCTGGTTAACATCTGATTCAGATATATTCCACCATTTAATTACATAAACGTCACCATTTAATATGCATGCTGTATTTGGTCTCTCCACTGCATATGTACAGCACCTAGCACAGTAGGAGCAGGCTGGAATTACTGAAATAAAAACAGTAAGTCATCATAAATTTCAGCTTCTAACATTATTCTTGGTAACAAGTCTCAGAAAATCTATTCTTGGATGACTGGCAACTCCTATTCTCTCAGATTGCAGAGAAGAGGATACTCTGTTGAAAAAAAAAAAAATCACAAGCTCGAATACTGAAATGAACAAAAATCACCAGGTATCACATTGCATTTTAATACTCTGGCACTGACAGAATAAGAACTGCAATAAAATAAGGTATTTCTATTGTAAGGAAAGATTATCTTGCTTGTCATCTGCAGTTCTTCTGTTAATATCATTTTCATAATGATGCCTCAGAGGATAAACCAAAAATGATAACAGACATCACAAAACAAAAACAAAATTCACCTATCAGACTACTTTTTAATACTAATATGTACAAAGTATTTTAGGAGAAATAACTGGGAGCAGGAGACGTACCATATTTCTTCCATACCTTCAATTATTCTTTTAACTCACAATAGCTTATTTATTGCCTTGTTTTTTAAAGTCTCCTATCCCATTTTCTTCTTATTGCTCACTGAGTGAGACAGAGGTAGGCTTATTTACTTCCACTCCCTCAAGTAGGACAACGTTACTGCTAATGGTAATTTATTTAACTAAACTAATCGGTTTATTTAGACATAAGAAGAAAATAATTTAGACCCGAGATTTTTGTTTTTTACTAGTTATTGCATCAGTTTGGTTTTTTTTTTTTTCCAAATAACATTAAAATGAAATCTAGATTTCCAAAAAGCAGGTGACTCTCTGACACCCAGATGGCCCCAAAATTTCTTTCATTTACTTTCTACATTTTTTTTTTCTTACATTCTCTTTCATTTCTATATTCCTACAATAAAATCAAACTGAATGATTCCAGTTCCTTAACGGGGATTATGATATTTATTCTAAATTGACCTAAAAGAAGTATAACACAACTAGTTCCCCTTTTATCAGAGAAAAACTGATCATTATTATTTCTAAATATAAATCAGCATACACACCCTTAGTGTTGACTGTTTTCGCTGTGACCTCTAGTTTCTCCAATGGTTCTGTTCCAATATTTTCTAACTTAATGATAAGCTGCTGGGTCTCTCCATTGTAAAGCTGGACAGACACATTAGTGGAGATCTCATCCCCTGAAGAAGGCTGAAGTGTATGAGCAGACCTACAAAATGTGACACATAGACAAACAAAATATTACGATAAACATGTTAAAAGCCTGTCCAAGTTATTATACTCTATTAACTATTCTTTGAAGACTCAGAAACTACTGCTCTGCAATCTTGAAGATATTCAATATCATTTTCCATTCGCATTTTAGCCAGGATCATTTTTTACAACCGTTGAGGATAAACATTAGTATTTTATGCGTAAGACAAGTCAGATTTCAAACAATATAAAATACATATTCCTAACTGTGAAAGCTTGTTAAAAATTGCTGCAAAAAAAAGTAAGAAAGGGAAAAGAGCAAAAAAGCAAGAACAGATCATTAGAATGAGCAAACTTGAAAAAAGTGGTATCTGATCTACCAAGTGTTTGAACAATAGGGCTGAATAACAATGAGTATCAAGAGCTGAATGTAAAACAAAAAGAATAAAAAATACAACTGAGGAGAATAAAAAGTTGAGCGCCACATAAGAGAAACCAGGGTGAAAGTCTTCTGCGAGATCCTGAAGTCCATACTGCTCTCTGATCACCCCATAAAAATTACAAAAGCGAGACTAAAGTTAACTGGCAGAAGAAACTTCAGAAGAGATGAAACCTTCGTACTCACAAGTGAGGCTACATTATCTGACACTGTTAGGCATTCCCAGACTCCACCAACATATGATGTACGCAGAATGAAGACAGAAACACCACTAATGACAGACAAGCAGCACTAACTGTTTTATGCAGCTGTTCACCCAGAAACTGTTTTCTTAAGGGATCATAAACAGTATCTGAAATATGAGGCAGGATGTACTTAGTACAGCACTATATTATAAAATAACTTAGAGAGGAAACAAAAATTATTCTACGAGTTGTATGTGCTAGAGAAAATGCATGGGTATCTAAAGCTTCAGAAACATGAGAATTTATTTAAATGAGTGTCAAGCATTTCATTTTAAAGTAACAAATGTGTCAAACCAGTCAGTTATTAAAATAGGAGATATGCACAATGCTATGACACCACATCATGGATAAAGGAGAACTGAGCAGTAACCTTGACCTTGGCTAGGAAGAAGTAATACAAGAGTTCAGAGAATGCAGTTTTAGTGGACAGCAGAGGGCATAAACCTCGTGGGAGCGGATCCTGGAAGAAATTCACTTTGTGAAAGGTAAAACAGGGAATATAAACGAACATGAATGAGGGAAGAAGGATTGCAGAACAAGACAGATGGGCAGAGCTTCAATTTCCAATTGTATTTTTCATGCTAATGCAAAGCAGTCAGAAGGGATCAAGGATACAAGGGCAAAAGCTAGTGAGATTAGTGACCGATAAATTTGTTGGGAAACCCAGGTTCAGTAACTTCTTTTGGCAGGTATTTCTGCTACCCTTCCTTTCCATCCTGTCCTTCCTCCTTAGCACAAGATAAGCAGCCTCCATAAAGAAGAGCAGATTTTAGTCTTTCAGAACGCATCTATGGCAACAAGTACTTAAAACACACATTTTTTGATCATCTACAATGTACTGTCATGTATTGTTATCATTGCAACACTCGGATGTTTGGCATTTGGAGTGACAGGAAAGAAGAAATTTCTTTTCTTCCCTCATATTTAGACAAAAGTATCAGGGAATTGCATATTAACAAAACAAACAAATGATACTTCCAATTACTGTATAAATGTACATATCAAACCCGAGCCCAAGCTAATTTAGCTTACACATCCTTTTCTGTAATACAGCTTCTTAAATTAAAAACCATCTCAGTTTTTGTTTAAGTACTGTGTAGCCAGCAGCTTTGCTCTGAACTTGCGAGACCTCAGGACTGAGGCTTGTCATGGGGATACTGGTAGATGAAAAATTAGATACGAGAGCCGGCAATTGGTGCTTGCAGCCCAGAAAGCCAGCCGTATCCTGGGCTGCATCAAAAGAAGCGTGGCCAGCAGGTCGAGGGAGGTGATTCTGCCCCACTACTCCAATCTCATGAGACTCCACCTGGAGTATTGAACCTGGAGTACTGAGTCCAGCTCTGGGGTCCTCAGCACAAGAAAGACCCATGGACCTGTTGGAGCAGATCCAGAGGAGGCCACAAAAACGGTCAGAGGGCTGGAGCACCTCTCCGATGAGGAAAGGCTGAGAGAGTTGGGGTTGTTCAGCCTGGAGAAGAGAAGGCTGCGGGGAGACCTTACTGCAGCCTTTCAATACTTAAAGGGGGTTTTTATAAGAAAGGTGCAGAGAGACTTTTTACCAAGGCCTGTAGCAACAGGACAAGGGGCCACAGTTTTAAACTGAAAGAGGGTAGGTTTAGATTGGACACAAGGAAGACATTTTTTACGATGAGGGTGGTGAGACACCGGAACAGGTGGCCCAGAGAAGCTGTGGATGCCCCACCATTGGCAGCGTTCAAGGTCAGGTCAGATGGGGCTTTGAGCAACCTGATCTAGTGAAAGATGTCGCTGCCCATGGCAGGGGAGCTGGACTAGATGACCTTTAAAAGTCCCTTCCAGTCCAAACCATTCTGTGATTCTGTGCCTACTCTGAACTTGTCCTGACCTGCCTGCAACTTTGGTTTGACTTACTGTAGCTGTAGCAGCAATTTTTCTTCTGACCTGGTGGCTACACCTGTTGCTTTATTTCTGTTACCTCTGGCACAACCACAGTTCCATATAGACAGTAGTAACAAGTAGGTGTACTAGGTAGAATGAGATATTTATGACTAAGACAATGAGAAAAACACAGGGCTGGTATGATGGCAGAGGCATTGTGAAGTAGAGACGCAGGATGCAGTGGAGAGGACTGCTGGCGTAGAGATGGGGCACATGCTTGGCACCAGAGACCCCACAGCTATTCACTAACAGTCAACGCAATGCAGAGCTGGAGCTGGACAAAAAGAGCTTTCAGGGGTAACAAAGAAAATAAGAATCTAACATACAAAAGGAGCACCTCATATATTAAATCTGGATGTAACGTGGAGCTTGAGTGAAAAAAAACCAAGGGTATAAAAATATGTTAGCAAACAAAAATGGCCTCAAGTGTTTTCTAGGCGGGGGGAACCATCAACATCATATTCCTCTCAGTCAAGGTCTCCAGATGCCGACAGCTCACTGCACCGCCAGACTGAAAAGGCCAATCTTAGGACCTAAAGGAGCAGGGGGAGGGTGAGCATGACACCAGGATAACAGGTACAAAAGAGGAAGTGGGGGTATAACAATTTTAAGTGTATTTATTAGTGATTCTTCTTCTGTATAGAGTATTTTTCTCTCTTTCTTTTTCTTTCTTCTGTAATAACTGCATCTGCATTAATAATGATTCCTGTATTGGACTGTTAAGATACAAACAGTAAATTCTTAGCTTTATAGATTCCTCTTTGCCCATAAACAAGATTTTGAGCATAGCAGTATTGCACAATTATTTCAGTATATTAGAAAGTACTCATCAAGCAAGCAACCTATAATACCTGGCACACTGGCATGCAGCTTCAAAAATTTCTGGTTCTTGTGGAAATGACTGATATTTGTCCAAGTTCATCCACATTAGAAGTCATTCATTATTTTATTTGTAAATTTGTCATTTTCTTCCCTCAATTTTCTTAATTTTTAGGCTTTTTCCATCAAGACCATTTTAGTCAGTGGTGTAATATTTTTATATACTGTATGTATGATACATATAAATTTATGCATAATTATAAATACATATAATGATGAAAATATATACTAACAAAGTAATTCTCAACCCACAGCAAGCTTCATTACAGCTCCTGCTAAAGTGAGCTTATTAAAATTGACCTTCTACAACACGGATCAATAAAAAAAAAAAATTACAGTTCTAGCAAAACGTTATGGTATGCCTAGAAAGGCCTGGAATTATTCTTCTCAATATGAGTATCTCCCCAAAATTACTACTAGATCAATCAACTGTTGACGAAATTATAAACAGCTATATTTCTTTGACCTTTTAAACAAACCTTTTCCTACATACCAGCAGTTTCACCTACAATAAATACAGTATCAAGATTATCTCAAATACTTCAAAAACAAATAAATATGGTGAAAAATTAAGAAAAGTCCAGCTCAGCTCCAGTAGAAGGTTCCAAAGACAATCAGCTATAAAAACTAATGTGTTCTGTCAGGAAGACTCTCTCTCAAGAACAGAGCTCAACCTCAAATGTTGGTAAGATGGGTGTGAACACAAATGTAAAGGTAAAGGTAAAGCAAAACAGCAAGATGCAAGGCTAGAAATCGGATTCAGATTTTATCCTGCTGTCTCTAAATTAAGAATGTTCTTTGTTTCATTTCTTCACCATGTCTTTTAAAAGTACATCATCCTCCGGAGAGCCCAAAGGACAAAACGCTGTTGACAGGAGTCGCATGAGGCCATTTGCTGGTATCACAGAGGCTGGGAGAAGGAGTCAGCGATGGTAAACAGAGACCTCGCTGGCGTACGGCAAGGGAGCCAGGAGTGCATTTGAATTCCCAGTGTTACAGGAACTGAGACCGAGTACTGAATCTAAAGCATCTGAAGAAACTAAGGGTAAATTTAACACCGATGAAAAAGTAAATACACACCAATATACAAAGAACATCTTGTTAATGTTCCACATTATCAGCTGAACACATATCCAAAAAGAGCAGATATTACTCTCATTTAAGAATATTTGCAATTCCCTTTGTATTTCAAACCCGTCACCTTCTTTAATATATTCATAACTTTTAGTAGCCAATATTAATTTTGATTACAGCTAAACCACACAGACTCCATATCTAGCAGAATTTTTATAGGGAATTTACCAACATGTAACTCAATTGCAGCATTTTATTATTTTGCCGTCTTCATCAGGATATTACTTTTATATCTTTGTAATACAATGCCATCAACACAGCCCATTCCACATTAAAAAACAGAATTTAGTATGGAAAAACCAGAATCAAACTGGTTCCTTTGCTTTACTAAGTAAACCATACTGAAGAACACAATAAAAAAAAAAATATTACATGTATGTATACACACATATATATCTCTTTGGGTCATAGGATACTGATGATCATCCTACTAAGGATCATAAATGGAGCTGAGATCTTCCAATCAGCAGAACAATCCCTGTGGTACTTGAGCTATCAAGGCAGTAAGTAACAAAAGGCTGTTTCCTGATCCATAGCTAAAAGGAATATTATTAAAAAAAAAAAAAAGAAGAAGAAAACAAACTCCATAGTTTTACAGCTATTTGCAGAATGGTAGATGGATGGCAAGACTCTGAGATACAGTGATGAACACGCAGCTCGGTATGTAAATGCTCTTGAACCTTGACATTCCAAAAATGGAATTGAATCAGTGTCTTACCAGCTGTCTCTAAAATCATGGAATTAGCCACGTTCTTCCCCCCCTAAAAAAGCTCAAAAAAACCCAGGCAAAAAACGCACACTACTACTGTGTCCTTTTTGGTGAGTGTACAAGGAAGTTATTTTAGGTCATCCTTCCTGTACCTCTTAAACATACTGTTTCTGTAGTACGGTATCAAGTTTGAGCCCCTCCTGAACAACAGAAACACTGATATATTGGAGCAAGTCCAGAAGAGGGTTATCAAAATGATTAGGAGGCTAGAGCACCTGACATATGAGGACAGGTTCAAAGAGCTGCGTTTGCTCAGTTTGAAAAAAAGAAGAGGGGTGATTTTAACTCTTGTGAGCGCAGTCGGACTTTGGAATCGTTTTCCCCCATAGGTGATGGAAACGCCACTCATGGAGATAATTAAAACTTAACTAGATCATGCCCTGGGCAACCTGATCTAACATTTAAGTCATATCACTTGTCAAAGCTGGTCCTGCTTTGAACAAGATCCTGGACCAGATGACCCCACCCTTTCCAACCTACACTATGGATTACCTCTTTACTTCAAGATTTTATGAACATTTAGCCTTTAAAGGATTCAGTCTTTTAAAACTATGACTTTAATAATGAATAACCGTTACACTCCCCCAGTTAATTAAATCTCAAAATATTTTCTGGGAAAATCCAAGATTTCAAGCAGTAAAACAAAAAACGTAGATTTATATTCTAAAGTAAATAGCACAGATATAGTTTGTCTTGTTTTACTAAAGCCCTGATTAGATTCTCAGATGAAAGAGTTTTTATTTAGCATGTGACTAATGCTTAAATATGACCAAATAAAATCATCATTTAATTCAGTTTCTCACCTCGGAAGGGAGGTACTGATCTGCAGCCTTGGCAAAGCTGGAATGACTTCAACAGTACAGCCATTGGTCTTCACTCCTGGCAGATTGTCCAGAAGGCAATCACTGAATACTCCAAAAACTGAAGTATGGTAACCTGATTTTTAGAAGAAAACACCAGTATGTTGTGAATTTTTCTGTTTTCTGAAAGGTCTAAAAGTACTAAGCTTGCTAGTCAGATCTTGCCAGTATTTCTGCTACCCAAACCACCACCTTCTCTGCAGAAGAATCTTCTCAGGACACAAAATATGTAAAAGATTTTCGACCCCCCTAAATAACATTTATAACTACATGGCAACATACAAACAACACACATGTACGCCTTTGTATCTGTGACATGTAAATTAAAAAAAATAACGAGTTCATGGTTTCTACCACACGCTGCGGTTAAGTTCTGTAGAATCCTTTACAAGATCAACATCACAAGTCATAGTATAGAGACCATCATTTTATACTACATCACCTAATCCACTGCTGCACATAAAACTTGTTACCCTTCAACATACGTTAACAGTTCCCTATCTCCTCTAAAAAATGGTTATAGGAAAGAGTCTCAACTGTACCTAGAAGCGAAGGAGAAAAGAATCCTAAAGGAAATTAATTAGGAAAAGAAAAAGTATGTAGGCGTACATGCATACACACACAGACGCCTGCCATAAAAGACCACAGCTTATCCTCTAAAAGTTCAATTTAGTAGGAACGTACCTCCACATTGATTCCTTACAAGGCAATATATACAAACTATATCTGAAGGAAAAATTGATACATTGACACACAAACAGCCGCCAAGTACAGAAATCAACTCCTCTACTTGCCATACATTTTTAGTATGTGAAACTAAAAGCAGACAACTACAGCACAAATGTTCTGAATGCTTTGATGCTATTCTGTATTTACTGAAATAGTTTCTAGGGGAAAAAAAAAAATCAAATGAAGAACCATTTTATGAGCAGACAGAAAAGCACTTAAGAAAAATTCAGTGAGAACAGAGTTTCTTCAAGTTCAAAGCCATCTTCTTTTGGTGTTGAGCTTTATTAAAATAGTTCTTTTCCTGTAACTCTGTATTCCAGGAACACATACCTAAAATTGCATGTTGGTAAGATGATTCAGTCCTAGTACTTCTTGAATCTACCGTCTTCACATATACCTCCTTTTGTAGGAGACTGATCTGGTCATCTTCTACAAAAGCTCCTTAATTCTTTTTACTTACTACAAACACCATTTTACTTAGGCTTATTAATGAAATGATATCTCATCTGCAACAGACTACACACATTGGCTAAATTGTTTCTACAGAAGCAATCTGCAAAAATTTCTGTAATCATACATGAACACGATTAATTAAGAAAAACAAACTGCAAGATTATCTTCTGCATTCTCTTGAAAAGTTCAAGTAATCCTCCTCCTCAGCTTTCCAAATGATTAATAAAGGGAGTTTGAGTTCATTATCCTTCTCCTCTCACACGTGAGATATTGTAAGTATGTGTTCATTACTGCTGTTAAAACCAAGTGATTTTTCAGGCTATGTTTTTTATGAAATCTAGTATAGAAAACAGATTTCTTGTTTTGTTTTGTTTTTTCTTTTACTTACTGAGGAGAACTCAGAGTGGCAAATATATACGTCTCATACAAAATTACATAATTCACGGAGATGTAAAACACATGGGTTTTTTGCTAGGAAGAGAATGATTAAAGACTTCCCTTACCATTGACAGTGATCTGTCCAGTAGTTTGAGGAACACCAACAAGAGTTACCGGATAGAGACCAGATTCTGCAGGCAGAGAAAGAGCTGCAGGAAGAGATTCAAATTCTACTCCTGTTGTCAAGAGACCCTGAAAAAGTCATATTACATAGGTAAATCCCTTTATGATACACACTTACATTTTTAGGATATATACTTATATTTTAATCCCTTGCATTACATCACCCAAACTTTTACGATTTATTCCAATTTGCTTGTAGCAGTTACTTTGGTTCTTAAGTTCCAGCGACTGAAGCATGCATCTAGAATTACAGCAAGATTTGTATTCAACACTGAAATGTGTTTCAGGATCTGAGGTGTGAATGATGTATGAAAAACTAATAAAAATTTATACCTAAGCACAGTAAAAAGAATAAGTGATATAATCTGCACGGTGTTGTTTTGTACCTACATTTAATTGTACCTGTGACCTTATATATTTGCTTATATTTTGGACAGTGGAAATCAAACATCAATAGAGGCTCTTGATTAGCTTTAATTAAAGTTCCTGGCCAGAAAATATTCATCTATGGGGAGAAAAAAAATTACTATTTACAGATAATAGAGCAAGTCTAGCTTTACTATCCAACCTAAACATCTCAATAAGTTGGAATAAGACATTCACTTTGCTAAATCGATTCTCTATCAAGCCTAGATGCCTGCAGTTAGACTGTATGATTTACTCCCTTAGTGTATGTCAGAGAAATCTCTTAGCATCCTAAATTTAAAACATGGGACAAAAGAAATGAAGAAAAAAAATTATTTAACAAACTTTTAAACACAGCATTACTGTTCTTAGCAGATTGGGGTTTTTTTTTTAATCTCAGTTAATGAATTTAAGATGCTTGAACACAGAATGTACCGTTACAAGTACGAAATTTAATGTCGTAAAGCACATAAGTCTAAGTTACAAGCTCCTTTTCTATACACATAGATTTTTATTTTTTAATAAAGATGCCATCCAAATATCTCCATCAATTAATGCAGTAAGTACACCTGGATTAAACCTCGACTCCATAAGGATGCTTCACAGGAACTCAAAACTCAAAAGAGGTAGATACTGTTTTTGTAAAGACAGATGAAAAAACTCATTGTTTGAGCCACAGAAAACCACAAAGAGACTGAAAACTGAACAAGGAGTTGAAGAAGCAGCAATGTTATCTGCACAGTGCCAGAATACCAGCACTGCTTTCCTTTGAAAACATCTATGACTGCCTAGTTTTTAATGCAGTTGGGTTTTGAATGGTGCACCTCTAATGCTCATGTCTGCTGTAAAAGGCAGACTAGCCCTCTTCTGTTTCTAATTCTCAATTAGAAATTAGGAAAATTGATACTCATGTAACAGGTACTTAAAGAAACACAAATGGCACCACCGGAATTACCCAGCCAATGACTGAAACTTGACCTGTCATGTATATTAAGTTTTAATGGCCTGATTTGCATTAGGACTAACCACCAGCAAGTCTTCTTCAAGCAATTCCTAAATACTAACCAAAATCAACCCACCAGCAGTCAAAAACTGAACTAAATTAAAAGCTATTATCAGAATTTCTTCCCTCCTCAGAAGGCAGTGTGCCTTCTGGAAAATTAACAACTATCTTTTATGTACATGCTACATAACAACTAAATAAATGCTTTGCACCTAAGATTTTTAACAGAACAGTCCTAAACACACCAGAAGCTTAAGAAAGCAAACTGAACAGGTTTCTTAGGTTCTTGATTTCTCTTCTACTGAAGATCTGAAGTCATCAAGATTATAATATACCCAAAAGCTAAAATATCATTCACTCTAGCAATTACTTCTTTGCAGACTTAACACTGTTGAGACCACACCTAATTCAATCAAAGCTATTCTCGCTTTGTGGAAACTCTACCCTTCTCTAATATTGCACAAAATTCAATGCCATCATTTCACTTGAGTTGTAAGAAAATACTGTGTCAAACCCTCACTTCTACTGAATTTTAGTTTTCCCCCAGTTTCACATGGAGACTTCAGCTGTCAGAAACGATCCACAAAAAAAGTAAGTAAGAACTCATTCTGTCTTCCTATACATTCACCATCCAGCGTATCAGAGCACTGATGCTTTTTGATTCCCCCTTCATAAACGCAAGCTTGGTCACTACTTTTCAAATAGGTACATTTGTGTATCTGGGAGCTTAAGCAGGACTTGCTTGCTGTTGTGAAATAGTCCTTGCAATACTTCAGAATAAAGAGATCAAAATCATTATTGCAATAACTAGATGATACAAACTAATTTTAGATATGATGCAAGATAATTGATTGCATGTGACTGAATATGAATCCTTCCAGTGGGGTTCACCCCACGGAAATGGGTTGAACATTCACACTTTAATACCAACTTAGCCTCAGTCTTCATCACAATCATTCTGCTTTTGCTTTGGCTGAAGCAAATCTTAGAACATAAATAAAAGGTGACCCCCCACACACTCTGAAACTCACTTTTAAAACAGGTACAGAAGGCTTTGTAAGATGATTTCAGTCCCAAAAGCACTGAACTATTGCTTGGCCAAATATTCAAATATATTTTAATTATTCAGGATTCACCTCAACTAAATACTTTCCTCCAAGGACTTAAAAGTCCTAAAAAAATCAATGACAAAAAAACCCCTCCAATGTCTTGTTTAGTATCAGCTATAGCAAATGTAAATAAACAGAACTGACAGCAAACCCTTCTAACTCATCTTCCTACTCTGAAGCAGAGCCAACTCCACATTAACCAATTCCCAGCATGTTCATCTGGGGAGGCTTGGAATTTCCCTCAGTGGTAGGCTCTAAGAGGGGATTAGGTAACTTAATGCAGTGGTTAAACTGGAAAGCCTTTCCAGTTCAACCTTTCTCCTAATACTACACCGAACTTACCTTGTAACAATTAATACACATCGTTATTTTCCCATTCCTAGCTAACTCCCCAAATTAGCCAGTGTATCAAATGCCTATAAACATATACAAAACACTAAGAAATGACAACACCATTACAAAACCATAGTCAGGTCACTTTTCTGAAATATGGGAAGCTCCTCATTAAGACATGGTCCTAATTAGCCAAGTTTTGCTTGGGTCAGGGGGAGAGGGAAGCAATGACTAAATACAGCTTTCTCCCACGTTCTTACTCCTCTACTTCACATTTTCAATCAAGCTGGATGTCAGGACATACATTCATACACTCATTTCACTTCTTGCAGTATAACCAGTCTTACGCTCTTACTTAATATGAATTAGTCCCCCATCCCAGCAATTAGACATCCTTCCCTATCAAGCTGGATTGAGGGGGTGCATGGGAAGACATTCCCCTGAAAGCCTTTTAGGTTTCTGTAAAGGAAAAAAATAACCTCAAGGGGGGGCCCTAAACCAGCACAACCCCGAGAAATGCATCTAAAGTAGCCATGCGTGCACGTACTCAGGCTGCCATACGACCCCAAAATTGCCAGTCAAAACCTCACAGCCCAGCGCGAGTTTTGATCTATGACACCAGTGAGTTCCCTCATTGCAGGGAAGCGAGGCCTGGAATGGACCAGAGCCAAATAACCCTGAAGAAACTAAAGATCACAACCGTAGGGGAAAAAAATAGGGAAATGAACTGAGAAAAATTAAATATCTCAGTGGTACTATTTTTAAAGGCTAACGGTCAAGGATCAGGAAAAGCAATGATCACAACCCAGCTGTCAGGGAAAGCCTCTTCCTTGCCAAAGGAAAACTGAGTATGTTAACAGCAGACAAAATCTGGACAAAAATCAAGATAAATAGAGACAATAATAGACAAAAAGGCACGCGAATGCATCTGGAGTACAATCACCCAAAATACGCCTGTGCTTATGGACAAGAGAAAAAGTTACTACTAAGAGAAATTGCTAGTATTAAAATGATTTAACAACAGTAGAGAAAAAAAAATTGCTATATACAGTGTACATTGCTCCCTAACCCCTGAAATGGTATCAAAATGACACCTTTGGATCATGCTGATCACAAACACAGCATGCTGATCGCAGACGACTGCTAAAGCAAAAGAAGTACTCAGCACAACGTATTTTTTTTATAATACATTAAGAATGCATTCTCATTCTATTCTTTAACAACAAAACCCATGAAAACGAAGAGCTTTTCTAGAGAACAAACACAATGGAACTGCCAAAACACCTGCACTAATCCTTGACTAGAAATAAAAGAGCCTCAAGTGTATTATCACACGAAGGAGAATACAGCATTCATTTCTCTCGTTATGAGAGTTTTACTATTCAGTAAAACTTCAAGTTTTTAAAAGTAAAGATACTGAGAAAACATAAAAACTCATTGAAATGGAAAAAACCCTCAACGAGGCTTCGGAGTCCCAGACATAAACTGAAATCAGGATACTTACCCTTAAAACTTAACCACACAAATAAGTTTTAAAAGACAATGACATATCTCGAATGTCTGAAAGACCTTTTCAATATTGCTATTTGCTGGATAGCAGAACTCAGCAATATTTGCCCGACATTGCCCTCTGGTGCCTAAAAATTTTTTAGATTAACAGTGACAATCAAATCAAGGCTGAAGTACTGTCATACCCTTTACCTAAACATATCAGACACAACAAAAAAGAAGGAAATAAGTGTTTAGATTTCTTTTCCCTTGAGTCTTATACCTTATTTCAAGTAATACCATTTAGTCATCATTGCTCTTTCTGGCCTTACAGGAAAAGTTTACCCATATACAAAGTTTTCTCCAGAGAATATATGAATCACACACACAAAATAAAAACCACCCAACCAATTGAACATTCTTGTATTCTTATAAAACAATTTAAATTGTCTTAGAGTGAATATATGCATGCTATTATCACAGCAGGTCTTTCAATCACTTCAAACTTTGATTTAGTTTTAGGGAAACAAAACAACTTCTACGTAAATGGTAGCATTTGGGGATGCAGTTGAAACAACATGAGTATGTAACTGCTTTTTTTAGGCTTTACTTACCAATCCTGAAATGCAATCATTCTTTTTTTTAAAGTAACACTGCCATCAAAGTTACTTTTCATGCTGAACATACTTTATACAGTGTTGTCAAATACTTTACACAAAAACCATCAAATA